AATGAGATTGGCACAGGATAGAGCACGGTTTAGGGCTGTTGTACATAGGGTCGCTATGAGTCGCAAATGACTCGATGGCACATAACAACAACAACATACATCAGAGAACTGGTCTGTGAATAAGGATGGCAGAAGAATTGATACCTTTGACTTGTAGTGCTGGAGAAGAATACTGGCAAAAGAACAAACAGATGTGTCTTGGGAAAAGTACAGCCAGAGTGCTCCATGGAGGCAAAGATGGCAAAGCTTCATCTTTCATACTTTGGACATGTAGCTAAGCAAGGCTATTCCTTGGAAAGGGGCATCATCCTTGAAAAGATGCAGGTCAGCAAAGGAGAGGCTCTAGTGCGTTAGATATGACGAGGATGGCACAGGATAGGGGAGGGTTCGGGTCACTATTAGTCATACTTGATTTGATGGTACTCCTCCCATTGCCAAGGTCCTGTACAAATGATTTCCCCTTTTTATGGTAATCTCTTTTCATGGATAATGTTTTCAAGGGAACTGGTGCAGACCTAGATCCTTGGAGTGCTTGTAACTTGTTTTTCTAGCTCATGGTAAAGTACCCTTAGGACTGAGACTCTGATGGATATTCATTCTCAGAAAATTGAGAACTATTTTCTAGAGGACTTGCTAGACTTCATATGGCCCTTTGATCAGTCAGCTTGGATGCTACCAGCAGGCCCCTATCCTGCCCCAGCTCAGTATGACTGTGTGACTCAGTCATCACAATCACTCTGACCAGAAAGCCTGCAGGCATGACATTGCCACAGCTTCCTTTGAACAGAACAGAGCCCAGGCTTGATCCAAGCTTCTTGCTTCAGGCCTGTATTCCAGCTTCCCTTCCAGCTTCCTTACCACCTTTCCAGGAGTACATGGTGAGCTGAAAGTTCAGCTGCTCATCTACCCAAGTGACCTGCTCCAGGATCTTTGATGGCCCAAATTCTGGATGTCTGTGCAAAGCAGACATCTCCCTCAAGCCAGTTCCACAGAGTTCCAAGCTCAGCCCATCTGTGCACCTGCTAGGCTCACCTTGGGAGAGGATTTAAAGCTGAGTGTGAGCTCTAAGGTCAGGGCTAAAAATGGAAAGAGGGATGTACCCTGAATTCTGTGGCTTTGAGCCTGCTGTTGGCCTAGTGGAACCTGGGTTCTATGGGCCTGCCAAGCTCCCCTGTGGATGCCACGGTTATTGCAGGGTAGTGTTCAACTCTGGCTCTAATCTGGGCTTTTGTAGCCTGGTCTGTCAGCCTACAGGAAGTAGAGTCCAGAGGCCTGGTCACTAGCTGGACAGAGCATAGAATCTGATGACCGACTATCTTTCCAGGGCCACATCTGTGGTCCCTTAAGGTCAGAGTCTTATCTGGTTCCTCTTTCCTCTTTCCAGATGGCTGGATATGCTCATGGTTTATCCTCGGACCAACAAGCAGAACCAGAAGAAGAAACGAAAAGTGGAGCCTCCCACACCACAGGTAGGTGCTGTGTTTGAGAGTCCTCTCTCAGTAAGCAGAAGAGAAATGAGAATGTGTTGGAGGTCAGGGACCTCAGTACTCAGCTTAGAATGAGGAACAGGCAGAAAGGCCCTTTCCATGACATCTAGGGTTTACACCTACCTCCTCTGCAGTACAGGGGATTTGGTGCAACCTGCTTCCAGTATGGGCTTGGGTTCTCCCCAGAACCAGGGGTCAGGAAAACCAGGAAGATCCACATGCTACAGGCCTTTCTGCTATCTGGTTTCCTCAGAGATGACCCTGCAGGAGCTAAACTGAGGAAGTGAGGGTCTGTCAGGAAACTCTGCTGTGCTGTGGTTTTTGCCATAGTTAAACATCGCACATAAACATGTAAACATATTTTTATACATAGCCCACTCGTACATGTGTGTATACACCCCCTTATAACCTCTCTGTGGCCGTAGATGGCTGTGGTCATGCCACCAAGACTGGTTGTTCTTCAAAGGCTCTTGAATGTCTGATCAACCCTGTTCACCTCTCCTCTGGGCCAGTTTAGAGGAAATTGGGGTGCCCAGCATGATTCCACGCCCCCTGCCACACTCCCACACTTCTGAGGCACTGCTAGTGTAAGCTTATGTTTCTGAATCTGCCTCCTGTTCTACAAGAGAAGGATTGATATCCAAGAGATAATTACTCTGGCTTGAAAAGGAGGATCAGCCATGAGTTATCAGTGGCTTTCCTGGACTTGGAGCTGCTTTCTGCTGTTGGCATGCTTTTGCTGAACACCATCTGAATGGAATGTGAGGCCCAAGGAGCCACAGAACCTGGATGGGGCCCTGCCACCTGTCTCCAGCCTCCTGACTATGCACAGAGGTCAGGGTAGACAGGGCCCAGGAACTCTGTTGGCATGGCTATCTTCCTTCAATGTCCACTGGGCCTTCCTGTGAGTGCCTCACCCCAGTCTACCATCAATGTGTCCCTTGACAGGAGTCTCTGTAAATACCCACTACAGCACCCCTCCGTGGAGTATGTCACTATCTGGCGGTAGGCAAAAAATGTAATTATTGCTGGAACATGAAAATGAGACTTTCAGTAACACTTCCTGCTAGGGCAGCAGTTAAGTGCAAAAATCTCCAAAATGACCTAATTTAAGATAAAAAGAAAAATCTCTGATGAAATAACAATTTTTAGGGTTATGCTACATTTCCATGGTGACGCCTTGGAAACAGTATTGGATTAAAGTGTTAGGCTTCATAAGTAGAGGGCATGCTGTGCCAGACCAGGGAATTTGCCCCCTGCTCCCAGACAACCCTCGCACATGAGGTCCCTCTCTGTGCTGGAGCGCATACACACACACACACACACACACACACACGCACACGCACACACACACACGCATCTTCAAGTACTTCTGGCCATAATAACTGCTTTCTTTTTGGTCCCTTGCCATGAGTTGGTAGAAAGGAAGTAGATAGGTTACATACTTCCCTGAAGCTTTTTTAGACCCAGAAAATTTGGGACATTTTCCCACACTCCTGAATGGGTTCCCTGCCACCTCTCCCTGCCCTTTGGCCTCAGAGGTGTCCACATTCAAGGCCACTGTGCTTAGGAACTATGTACTCTCCATCAGGGCCCACCTGTAGGGGTCAGTCAGTATTGGGTACAGTGAGGAAGCCCTGGCGAGTTGGGAGGGTTGAGCTGTGCTGAGTCTAAGCCCTAGGGTAGAAGTGACCCAGGAGAATTTCTGACCACAAAAGCCAAGAGCCTGAGATGTCTACCATTGCTGTGTCCTAGTCCTCTGCATCTTTGCCTCCCCAGAACTCAGTCCAGCAGAGGCCTGGGAGTAAGATGTTTGTGGGCCTTGAGGGGGGATGGACAATGACGACAGTCCAGGGGGCAAGGGATGCCATCCCACCTTCAACAGGACAGGGACAAAGGATAAGAGAGGCAGGGGCTCCCCTACAGAGGCCAGGACTGGGAGGAGGCAGGCCCAGCCCCCCTGGAGCCTCAAAGCCTATGAGAGCTACTTTCTCAGCCCTGATAAACCCTTCACAAAGAGGGACTCTTTCATAGAGTAGAAAGGAGAAGATATCTGGGTGTGACTGATCTCTTTCAGCCCTGCCCTCCTTTGTGTTAGTTCCTGTTGGGCTGATGGTGATTTCCCCAGCAGGCATGTATCTCATTCCCCCAAGCCCTTACTCCAAGTTCTTTCCCCTCCACCCTTCTCCAGGCAAACTTCCATCTCCCCAGCCCATTAGGCTCTCCATTCCTTCTGCCTTTCTTATAAGACAAGCTCAGCTGTCTACCACAGACTCTATCTGACTCAAGCACTCAGCCCTAGCAGCTGCCCAGGTCTCTCCCTCCTTGGAAGTCTTAGTTTCTGCTCCAGTATTGCACTGTGCTACAGAGTAGAGCCCTCCTATCTTTACACAGGAAGTAGAGAGGAAAGTCCCTGCTCTGCCATTTTCACACAGGAAGTGGAGGGGAAGGTGTGGTTCCACACCCCCCCCCCCCATCTTCACACAGGAAGTAGAAGGGGAAGACCCCACCTCTCGTTTTCAAGCAGGAAGTGAAGGGGACAATTCCCCTCATCTTCACACAGGAAGTAAAGGGGGAAGACCTCACTCTCCTATCTTCACACAGGAAGTGGAGGGGCAGTGGAGGCAAAGGCCCCACCCCACCCCCATCTTCACACAGGAAATGGAGGGAGAGGCTCCCTCATCTTCTCACACAGGAGGCCGCCTTCGCCATTTTCATTCCCCTGTGGTTTGGGGTTTTTTGTTTGTTTTTTAATGTACTTCCTTTCATAGCACTTAATACTAAAATAATGTTACCATGATATAAAATGCACAGCCTTTGGTTTGGCAGAACAGTTCCTTGTCCAGTAGCCACCAGAGCTTAAATGAGTCTTACAGGGATAAAATCAAGGTGTTAACCCATAATGCCTTCTTTTTTGTTTTGTTAATGATTTTTTTGTGTGTGTGTCATAGTTTATAGAAAAATTGGGGTTTTGTGCTTGTATTAGAAAACATTTTCCTCCTTCCCTGTCTCCCAGGTCACTTTGTGATGCATGTCTTGTTCCAGATTGTTAATTGTCATTCATATAATGCCTATCCATTCCTTTCAGATAGTCCTTTCTTTCAGCTATTCCAGGGCAGTGTTCATTATCTATTCGCTTTTCCTGTTCTCTCTCACCTTGTCTGTCATCCCTATTTTTATAACAGCAGTTTTATTAATTATTCAGCAACATATCAAAAGACTAATACATCATAACCAAGTGGGATTCATGGCATGCAAAGATGGTTCAACATAAGAAAAGTAATTAACATAATTCATCACATTATCAAAGCAAGGGATAAAAACCACATGATCCAGTCAACTGATACAGAAAAGGCTTTTGACAAAATTTAACATTTTTTCACACTCAGCAGAATAGGAATAGAGGGAAGTTTCCTCAATAAAAGGCATATATTCTAAACCAGCAGCCAACGTCATGGTCAATGGAGAAAGATTAAACGTATTCCCTCTAGAACAAGGATTAGGCAAGGATGCCCACTATTAACACTCCTATTCAGTACTGTATTGGAAGTCCTAGGGAGAGTAGTAAGACACAGACATCAGAGGCATCCATATTGGCAAAGGAGAGTTAAAACTGTCTCTATATGCAGATGATATAATAGTATACTTGGAAACCCCTAAAGAAGCTGCAAGTAAACGGTTCGACATAGTCCACCCCTTGAGAAAGTAGCAGAATATACCATTGGCACACAAAAATCAGTTGTATTTCTCCACAGAACACAGAGAAGAAAATAATACCAAGCACTGTAGCTAATCACTAGATTAATTACTCAGAAATAAACTTAACAAGAGAAATAAGACTTACACAAAGAAAATTACAAGAGTGCTCTGTTGGCCTAGTGGCAAGAAGCTACACTGCAATCCCACAGATGTGCAGTTTGAATTCACCAGATGCTCTGCTGGAGAAGGAGGAACAATCTCCTCCTGTACCAGTCAGATCTGATTTGATACACAAAAATAATAAACAAACAAAAAAAAAAACCAGAGAAAATTACAAAGCATTACTACAAGAAACAGAGACCTAGAGAAATGGAAGACTATGCCATGCTCATGGATAAGAAACTGAATTTCATGAAATGGCAATTATATCAAAAACATTCTGCAAGTTCAATGCAAATTCCTGTTTCATTTGGAAAGGAAAGTTGTTGTTATGTGCTATCAAGTCGCCTATGACTTATAGTGACCCTATGTACAACAGCTCTGAAGCTGTCCTGAGCCAGTCTTACTGACTCTGACACACCTACACCCCATTGCCCTAGTTACTGTATCAACCCAACTCATCTGGGGTCTTCCTCTACTGTGCTGTCCCTCCACCCTTCTGAACATGCTGTTCTTCTCCAAGGATCAGTCCCTCTTGGCCGTGCCTGTGAGATGGAGCTTCAAAATCCTAGCCTCCAAGGAGAAACTTAGTTCGAAGACAGTACTCTAGCACCACAACTCCTTAGTCATTGTCCAACTGGCTGATGCAGAGCAAGTAATTACGAAGACCATGGCCTGAATCAGGCACACCTTAGCCTCTAAAGTGATACTGTTTCTTCTCAGTATTCTGGAAAGGTCCTGACAACAGATTTACCTAACGCAGTTCATCTTTTGGTTTCCTGATTACTGGTGCCAAGAGTGTTGATTGTGGAGCTGAGCAAACTGTAACTTAACAGCCTCAATTTCTTCTCATCCATCATGGTGCTACCAGTTGCCCAGTGGTGAAAATTTTTGCCTTCTTGATGTTGATCTTAAATCCACATTGAAGATTCCAGTCCTTGACCTGCGGCAAGTGCTTTAGGTCCTCCTCAGTTTCAGCAAGCCAGGTTGTGTCATCTGCACAATATAGGTTATTGATGAATCTTCTCCAATCCTGATGCCACATTCCTCCTCATAAAGTCCAGCCTCCCAAATGATCTGTTCTGCATATAGATTTGAAAAGGTATGGAGACAGGACACATCCC